ACAACATTCATCCCTGTTCAGAAAAGATCTCTTTCTATGAAAATAATTATGTTTATAGCCATAAATTCAGTATCTGTCCAATAAATTATTCAGATTTACGCTCAATATTTTATACCTTAAAATCCAATGCATTTGGAACTGACAGAGTATCACTTGAAATGCTTAAATTATGTTTTCCCCTAATTTCAATACATATATTACATATAAATAAATGCTTAGAAAAAAGTATATTTGGAAAAGCTCTCTTGTTTTACCGTTGTTCAAAGTAGGTAATCCTAGCCCATATACTGACCTGAGGTCTATTAGCATATTGCCTATACTTTCCAAATTGTTGGAAAAGGCAATGTATACACAAATAAATGAATATGTTTTGAAATGTGCTATACTACCATCTAGACAATGCGGTTTTAGGAAGGGATATAATACTGCTGCAGCATTGTTAGATCTAACTGACAATATTGTCAGGGCTTGGGATAACCGTCAAACTACTTCCTTAATTCTTTTAGATTTTTCTAAAGCGTTTGACACCATCAGCCATTCACTCTTACTAGCCAAATGTAAATTTTATGGTTTCTCTGAAACATCAGTTGCTCTAATAAACAGCTTTTTAAAGAATAGGCCACAAAGAGTTGTCATCGATATGAACACTTCTCCTGAGGCTTTAATTTCATCGGGAGTGCCTCAAGGGTCGGTTCTTGGGCCACTTCTTTTTATTTTATATATCTCCGATCTTGATAAGGCTATTAAACACTGCAATATTTAGTTTTTTAAAGATGATTCGCAGTTTTACAATAACTTTAATACTGACAATATAATTATTGCTGAGGCTCAAATTAATGAAGACTTGAGTTGAGGTCTATCGACAAGTATGCAAAAATTCATAATCTTAAATTAAATTGAGAAAAATCAAAAGTAATTATATTCACTCCTAAAAAATTCTGAAATCAATTTAAGAAATATTCGACAATATCATTAAATGATGAGATTATAAAAGTATGTGAAACTGTAAAAAATCTAGGCATATCTCTTGATGAATGTCTGAATTTTATTCCTCATGTGAACCATGTTACAAAAAGTTGTATTTTAATACTACGGCAATTATACTTGAACAAACATATTCTCGATTACAAAACTAAAACAATTCTCTGTGAGTCATTATTTCAAAAATTACACACATTGTTTATCATCCATTTTAGATTCAGTATCTGTCAAGCGCTTACAAAAATTCAAAATTCATGTTGCAGATTAATCTGTAACTTGAAAAAATATGACCACCAGTGGCGAAGCGTCCATGTAACCATTGTTACCATTGGTAACAGTTAAAAATCTTAAAAATAAATATTTTATGGCTAACTACTGTGAAATAATTTCATTTATTTGTTTACCAACAGCGATATGTAATAGTAATTCAGTAAATAGCAAATTAGCCCCACGAAAATAATCTGCCCTATAGTGTCTAGGTTTTGCGAACACGATGGAGCTGACTCGCCTTGACTTGGTTGTCGGTTGTTACCATTTTCAGTTATGGATACACTTTGTAGTCCGTCGGGGACCGCCGGTACCGGCGCGTGTCTGATCGCGGCTGCCCGAGTGCGTGAGGCGCTGCGACTATTATGTGGACTTGTTACCATTTTTTGATTTGGTTACTCACTTCTCACTCGTTAGTAGCCGTTTTGGTTACTGGCTGTAGTGTGCGTGCAATTAAACATGGATGAGTGTCGCTGCGTAATCGATCAACTACTTGAAAAGTTATTCTCCTTGTATAATTTTTAAGAAAAAAAAGGAGATCTTTGAAAATGGAAGACCAACACCTATTTGAGATAATTTTAAAAAGGAATAAAAAAACGTAGTTTGATATTTTAAATTAAGTTGGTGTATGGAAACTCTTGGTTATGTGGTTGCAAAAAAACAGATTGTATTGTTGGCTATGTCTTCTGTTTAAAACAGAAAAAATGGGTGAACCAGCAGCGGAGTCAACGATTTAAATAGTTTTAGGGCTCTAAAGTGGAGACATGAAATTCCTCCGTTACATGTGAGATGTGTAGCCAATTTAATTCAGTTTGGCAAAACAAGAATCGAAAGTTGCCTTAACCAAGCTTTTAGGCAGCACACTTCTAGATACCGTATGTTTTTAGGCAAAACAGGAATTACCGTTCATTTTGAAGGGGATCACTCTGACAAAAGAGGAAATTACAAGGAAATTGTTAACATTCATTGCCAAAAAAGATCATACATTTTCCGAACATCTAGAAACGTCGACCGTTTTTTCGGACGGCTTGGATTAGTCATAGCGTAAGACGATGAGGTATATCAAGTGCCCCAGATGCTCAGTCCAAGAATGTTTACCTTGATTTAAAAATAGTTTAAATAAAATACTTACAATAAGCAAAAACTTATATTTAGGAGGTTCAAAATAAACTTTTTTTAGTAACAGTTTAGGAAAAGTCACGCGTCGCCACTGATGACCACCTTACCCCCTCGTTCATAAAATTGGAATTTATTTAAATTGCATTTACTATATTATATTCACAAGCTTTTACTTACCTCAATTCCCTCATTTTTGAAAGGTAAGTTAAAATTTCGAGATATTCGCTATATTGATACAATAACAATTGCTCCTTACAGAACTTCATTTTCCACTAAATGTTTTACTTATAATGCTACTATCATGTATAATGCTTTACCCTCTGATACTAAAGCTTTAAATTTCAAGAATTTCAAAAATCAAGAAAAATAATTTTAGAGCAATCATTTACATAAATTTATCTCTTACTTCTGCTTATAATATATGCATCAATATGTATGTATAATGTTATACTTTTATCCAATCTTGATTTACCTGTGTTTTACTCAATTAATTTATTTTTTATGTTGAAACTCTGCATTTTAGTGGTTGGTATATATTTTTTTTGATGGACATTTTACGGGGTAAGTGGTAGAATAGCTTATGCTAAACTTAGCAAAATAAAGACGTTTTATTATCATGATTATTATTATTATTACTTTCTCTCTGGCTGCAAGATATCCGTCCTAAAGGCTGCTACACACAGTGCCGGCGGCTATGCCGCCGGCAATACAAGCCGCCAGCACAAGCCGCGCAAAGCCGCCAAGCACATTTTATGGTTGGTTGGTTAAAATGAATAAAGAAATCATCAGCACAGCCGCTGCAGTTGTAATTTTTATTTTAATAAGAAAAAAATACAAAAGGACGAGAAGGTTTTGGGTGCGCGCAAGTTTACAAAATAGAAAATGGCGGAACGGTACTGTAATGATAGAAGAGTATAAAAAAGATGATGTGGGGTGTCCGCGTTTGCGCAATAGCACGTTTTTTGGGTTTCTGAGAATATCATATGGAGATTTTGAATTTTTGCTAGATAGTACTGAAGTGTACATTAGCAAAAAAATACTGGCTGGAGAAAGGCTGAACCCGCTAAGGAAAGATTGGCAGTAACGTTGCGGTTTTTAGCTACAGGAGAAAGTTATTTCAGTCTTGGAGAACTGTTAAAAATTTCACCACAACTTCTTTCCTCACTGATTCCCGAAGTCTGTGAAGCACTTATATCAAAATTTCAAATCAAGGTAAATATATATTTTTTAATGACTCACTCTTGATAGTCACAGGGAAGCTCACTCACAGGAAATCCTAGAGGTTAAGCTAGAGAACACCATAACCTAATGTATATTTGTCCTCTATTGACCAAATATATTTTTTTATTTATTTATTTTATTTTTATTTATGATATGGCCTGAATGTATGTGATATTGCCGGATTGAATAAAATTTGAGTATAACATTACATTAAGGCCTTCAAGCACTTACGCTAAAGAATATGTTATTATATAGGTTACGTATATGTCAGTATATAAGTATGTTTTATTTTTTTTAATTTATTTTAAATTAATTTTTATTTCCTTTTATTCTTCTAGATGCCGACCACAGAAGAAGAATGGCTTTCGGTCTCACGTTTGTTTTTCAAGAAATGGAATGTTCCCAATTGTTGTGGATCTATTGATGGGAAACACATACGTATAATTTTTCAATTATAAATCGTATTTCAGTATTGTGTTGTTGACATTAGTCGATGCTAATTATAATTTTTTATTCGTCGATATTGGTTGTCAAGGAAGAGTCTCGTATGAGGGTGTTTTTAGAAATAGCTCCCCGAAGCATAGCAAAATGAATCTGTAAATCTACCGACACCAAGACCTTTACCTGGACGGACAATGAATGTACCATTTTATTTCCTGGGTGATGATGCTTTTCCGATTTCTCCTAACTTAATGAAACCATTTCCTGGACAACATGAGCGAGGATCTCCGAAAAGAATATGCAACTACAGATTTTGTAGGGGAATGAGAGTCGTGAAAAATGCTTTTGGCATATTATCGGAAAAATTCAGAATATTTCATTCAATGGCTAATTTACAGCCAGAGAAAATGAAAATTGTGGTAATGGCTTGTGTATGCCTACAAAATTTTATCCGAAGAAATGACGTTGATGTTGAGGATAATATGATAACGATACCGGCACCAAATATTGAAATAAATCGAAATTTGGAACCTTCAATGGTCAGAAATGAGTTGATGAACTATTTTCTTTCATAGCAAGGACAACTTCGATGGCAAAATTACATTCCATAAATCAAACATATTTTGTATAACTTTGATTAGGTAACATTTTGTTAATCTGTGTAGCCCCACTAATCTCACTATCAATCACAATTTGCAATAATAGTTTTAATTATTAAATCCCTAATGTAGCATCATAAATTTAAAAGAGTTTTAATTATTTTCCAAATATGAAAAAAGGCTGTCCTAAGTATCAGAATTGACGGTGTAATTAGAATGGCTAGTGGCAGGTGTACGAAGTGGTAAAATATCCTTGAGCTGCCTCCACCCTGGAAGGTCTTGAGTAAACGCCCATTCCAGCCTGGTAAATTATATTTTGAATATGATATTGTCCTGTAGATATTGTCATAGTATCCATTTTTCGTATTTTACTTGCTATGTATTCTCCAAATACCGAGGCATCGTCGCGAGCATATGACCAAGCTGACATATTTTTTAAAACTTGCAGAGCTCCGGCAATATCACTGTCTCCATCAGTACCGCATCTCCTTTTCCGGGAACTAGTCGCTGTTGCATTATCTTGCTGACTTTTTTGCGAGTCTATCTATAAATAGAAGGAAATATGATTGTTTTATCATGGGAGGTATTTAATATGCCGGCACTGTGTGTAGCAGCCTTAATGGACGGGTTCTCCTATTCATCCCCCAACGTCAACGCGAGTGTCCCCTAGGGATCGGTGTTGGCTCAAACGCTGTTCCTCTTAAATATCAATGACCTCCTTTTCTGTACGACCAATCCAATCCATAGCTTTGCTGATGACAGCTCTTTATAGGCAGGAATTTATAGTGACAAGCTGATCTCTGCCGGTGAGCTCGAGAAAAGAAGACCAGCAGCGACTTCATATCTGACTAGAGACCTGAAATTTATCACTGCATGGGGACGCAACAATCTTGTACAGTTTAATACTTCCAAAACACAGTACTATACCTTGACGAACGAGAAACGTCCTATCGCTCATGCGGTTTCGATGGATGGTCGAGGTCTACCAAAGAGCCGTTTATTTTGGCTGGTTAGAGTCCAGATCTCCGAAGACTTGATCTGGCACAAATACAGCTGGTCAATAGGTATTAATTTGAAAATTGAAAAACCGGCAATTTATTTAACCACAAAATACTACAAACTTCATTATTTATGGTACAATTAAAATATAATTGCAATTTTGGTACATAGTAGGAGTGTTATGTGAAATTGTTGTTAACTCATTAATAACGTTGGGTGTAGGTGAATCATTAATGTTGTTGATGGGTCCAGCTGTGGAGTGAGAAGCTCGAGGACTGGCTGCAGGATCTTCTGTTTTCTGTTTTTTTACCTAGAGCTTCTGAGGCGTCACAAGGGTGTTTATGATGTTGGAATAATCCTCATTATCAATTTGCAGATAAGGCTTAATTGAATTGGCTGAACTGTGGCCAGTAATTTTAATTAATTGTTGTTCACCCATTCCCGCTTTAGCCAGATAACTGACTGCTGTCGACCGCATAGAAATGATTATTATTTTTATTTCTTGTGTATTTAATCCTGCCTTCTCTACTACTTCTTTAGTCCATTTCGCAAGTTCTTGTTTTCCTACTAGATTGCTTTTGTACCATCCACTTTATTGTTCTTTGTTCCATGGTGAGTTTACTGTTAAGAATAATCTATCAGTTGTTATATACGTTATAAACGTAGATGAACGTTTATCCATTAGAGTTTTAAAAAAAGACGGACTGAAAAAAAAGGTATGATTCTTCGTGTTGGAGACCAGCCATTCTCTAACTGCCATTTTTTTCTCCACACTATGCCGTTCTATTGAAGAGATGATTATATTCTACTCTTCCTAAAAAGTAGGATTTTTGAAAATTAGTTATTTGAAAAATATGTAACTATGTTATCTACCTGTTTTAATCCCAGAATTATCCACTTCCTCTTTAAAATAATGAACTCTGCAATCGACTGCCGAGTTCTCCTGAAGCAATATGGTACATTTTCGCTGGAGTCCCGCCAGAGTGTCTTCGTCCTATAGTAAAATCATTGCGTGATATTCTTCCAATTTTAATGAAGCAGAGCTCGATTTACTTTTATTGGCGCACATCTGCGAATTCCTTCTTTTCGCATTACGTGCTTCTCTACTAGACTTAAAGATAATATCTTTAAATGTATAAAAAATTATTTTCCACTTCATAAAATGTATCTCTTGCACTTTTTTGCAACGGTATTCCACATTGTCTTCACAACTAGTTCTTTGTAATTTTCACCGTTTTCTTTCTTCGTATTCCACGCCCAATCTTTCAGGATTAGGTTTAGTTGTTCTAGACTTGTAGTTTCCAAAATCTCGCATTTCTTTGCCTTGCAGAATTTCGTAAACTGTTTTTCATATTGACGTATGGGTTTTAACGGTATTGTACACACTTTTCTCAATCGCCAGATCAATATTAGTCAAAGAATCACTTCCAAAGCGACCTCATTTTCACTAGATAAGCTGCCTAGTACCGTTTAAAAAGGATATTACAAAATTTATAGACCATAAAATCAGAACAATTGTTTAGTTTCGTTTTCTGGTGTCCTAGGAGACCATAATTACCTGTTATCAAAGATATTAATCAAATCCAAGCGAATAACCAAAATTTCTGTGTTATGTGCCGCGGTTATAATATGGTTCAAGATGACACACGGGTTGATGATGTCAGTTACACGAATCGCTTGAACGCGTTGGTTTTAACCGCGGTTTTGTTGCAAGTTGTTTATTTTAGAAAAGCGCGCATATAATCTCTGATTATTTTTATTATCACTTAATAATCGGTGCTTTTTCGTCTACAACTGTGTATGGAAAGTTTGAATAAGAAACCTTTCATAATATTTATGGGAGAAATGTTTTTTTTCAGATTTTTTTTTAATGATCGAACCATGGCTTTGTAGCTATGATAACTTTCAATTCTCTAAATTTTTCCGCATGTCAAAGAAAAACATTTATTGATTCAGCAGAAATGATGACAAAAGAAATTAGCAAAACCGTATACAGGTGGATATCATCGAGTGAGTTTATATGGCCGTATTTTAATATTCTTGTGGTATATGGCTACACAGGATACTTTGTTAAGCATAGGAACTACATTTAAAGTGCCCCCCAACTTCCGTAATGAGTATAACTAATAAGGTGCTCCACTTATGGTAAAAACTGAAGTCAGGCTCAATCAAGTTTCCCAAAAATGAAGCTAAATACACTAATAATATCCAATACTCGGCAAAATTGTAACTTGTCACATTTCAAATAATAACCAGAAATATAAAACTACTCTTGAGTTGGGTAAATACCACAATTTTGCGGTGATAACTATGACATATAACAGCTGATTCGTGACGTCACGGATCTTATAACCAAAGTGATAACTATATACACTCGCTTGAACGGATTGGTAAATACCAACCCAAAATGGTAAATACCATTTCCATTTGGTTATCCGCTTGAATTTGATTATTGTAATTTTTGGTGGAACTGTCAATTTTTGCCGCGGGTAAACTCGAAAAAACTGCTGACAGGAGCTGTCATACAATTTTTCCATTTAGAAACCATTTGTAATTCAAAATTGCGCATTTGTGATTGGTAGAAATTAAGACAAGGGAAATAGTCAGTGGCAATGCTCAATAGGTATCTAAACTTTCCCTATAGGTCGGTAACTATAGTTACGATTGATGAAATGTGCATTTGTCATCTTGATATGCATAAATACTCGTATACTTTTGCTCTTTCAATTCGGGAAATATTCTACCGAATTGCACTCGTGCATCAAAATAAAACCTGATAATTTTCCATTAAAGCATGTTGCCAGTAAAAAACCGCATTCGGTGATTTTCATATTTTGTAAAAGCGCCGTTAATATGAAAATATGAAAACACGCTTTCATGAAAAATTATCCGTAATTTTGAAGCACTTGTCAGAGTTACTTCCGAAAACAGAGTTACTCAATCTTGAACGTGACATCACCCTTCCAAAGAAATTTAATCTCCCCAGATTTCGTATTCCCCGAAAACGAAATCTTATAGCCTAGAGTTGGCAACGCTGATACCACAAGTGGTCAAAAAACGATGGTCGACACACACACGTTGTTCCAGAAATTGGGTAATCTTGCAGTTGCAAATAGGTCACGAAATCACTTCCTATAGTGCAAAACATTGGCTTTATCAAAAAATGTTGAGTTTCCAACATTCAATTTATTTCTTGAAAAACCTGAACTCTCTTAATTCCCTGCCATTTTTACAAATAATATTTTGGACCCGGTTTGCTTCAGAACACTCACAATTAAGCATTACATCCCATCCAGAATTATTTGAGAAACCCATATAAAAATTACACCACAGTCTAAATTTTAATGAAAACTCGTTCTCACGTGTGATTGACGTCTTGTAGTGTGAGAGAATCAAGTATGATCACTCTACTCTCTATTAGTCAGAAAGGATGGATTAGTTTTATTACCACTCTGCTAGTATGTATTTTCTTTCGATTGCAACTATAAAAATGGTATTTTAGGCTTTTGAGACAAATTAATGCTGTGTTGCATTATATAACCTGCCATTTTGGCATCCAAATGTGTTACCGTGGTCAGTTTAGCTTGATATACAAATATTCTAAAGTAACACCAATGAAAAATTTAGATTCAGCCCAGCGATCTTGGTGGCAACGAAATAAGGCCGTTCCGCCAGATCCACCTTTATGAATGCTGAATGTTTGTGATTGAAGTGGTCGATATCGCCGAGTGTGATGTGCTATACCGAATGTAACGCCTTGAGTAACCAGGAAACGTTTTCACAATATCGATGGAGCGTGGTAGTCGCGTTCGGGAGTCACTTTCGTTACGCCATCGCGAACATTCTACACATCTGGAGATGAATCTACTGCCATCTAGACTGCTTCCATGAAAATCGATTTCAATCGAGAAGACGCTTCTGGAAATCATCGATTGCAGATAATACCGAACAGATGGTGGAAGCAGTCAGTCACAGTCGAGACAGTTAACGACGCGGAAGTCAACAGTCGACACGGTTATATTTGTCATAAATTAGTTGAAAGTGTTATAAATTAGAGTAATAAATTAGACTTCGAACAGTGAAACTGTGTTTTCGTTACAGGAATGAAAATGATACCAATCTTGGTGAGAATAAGATATGGATCTGAGTTTTCTACGCAAACTGACTGTTCGGCCATTTAGAGATTGATCTCTCGCCTCATCCATACCGCAGGTGCACTAAAATCGCTAGACTTGAATCCGCCCAATATGTTTACTGAAGTTGCTTCAAAAAACTAATCACCGCCAAAAACAACTTTGATTTATTTGGAGCGTGATCATACTTGATTCTTTCATACTACAGGGTGGCAAAGCCAGATATGAGAATGACGTTTCTTTAAAATTATTTTTATATCGATTTCTCCCCATTTTAAGTAAAACCTCTTGGTGATGAATGCTCAACCCAGCAACATGATATAATACTTTGGCACATGGCAGATCGAGGCCACTACAAGTCACAAACATTCTACAATCATAAAGGTGGATTTGACGAATCGGCTCTATTCCA